GCTTAACAGATATTAACTTGTGTAGCATATATTGTTTTACAGAGTGTAGTACTCTGCTGAATCATGCAGCAATTTATTAAATATGTTATATATTATTATTATTATATATTGACTGAGTTCATGTCTGGTTTAGATTATTTTTACTTATATATTCTCCTTATATCATCTGCTGTTTTGCATGATTGTTGAAAAAATAACATAATCACCAAGTATTTTAATTGATTTGAAAAATATTGCAAACAATTACTGACAGATCCGGTTGGGCTGGCTGTTAATCAATAGTTGTGACCTGTGAGTTATATGGTCGTCATTTTTGCTCCTCTATGTTGTCACAAATGRGAACAGTGGAAAGTCTCACTCTAGTGTTATTTAACTTTGTTTACAACACATATATTTGAGCCCAGATAGATCTCACGATATTGCTTGAGATTGCACAAAACATTATTTTTTAAGATGCAACCAAACTGGCACTAACTACCATTTATCAACTTCTTAATCTAAAACTTCATCCCAAAAGGCAGAGGGAGATGTGCATTTGCTAGTTCTTTTTCCTCCCTTCAGAGACCCAGTTTATATTTCTGAGTGAGGCTTGTGTGAAGAGGTTTGTTCCCGTTACAGTTGATGGAAACCATCTTTGCCCAGGCAGCGACCGTTTCAATGAATCTCTTTTGCTGATTAAGCCAACGAGACGTCTTTGTAGAGGTTTGATTGCTTCAATCTGCATACAAATGAGTTCTCAAGAAATGCCGTCTGGATACTACCGAGGCAATCACCTCCATGCTTTATTAATGAGAGCTGAGAGCAAAGTTGAKCAAACATTATGCTGGATAATTAATGCATTGTTTAAATGTAGCTGAATTTAAACACATAAACAAGTTCATTCAGAATCTTGAACCTATATTTCTCTTTTTAATAGCAGTTGGGGTTAGACCTTCATTTCGGAAGTTTGTAACAATTCAGTGTTTTTAACAAACTCTCATTTTGTTCTCAGCATCTATGTTTGTAGAAAACAAAATGTTGGTGTAGAAAGTCAAACGGAGGGATTCCTCAGTGTGCACATGAGCGTCTGATCCATCTTTAAAGCAGTGAAACAGCAGGGTTCTTACCGCTCTGGTGGGATTGCTCTGATCAATGGGGTTTTTGAAGTCTGTGCGGAGTTCATCAAACGCAATGATCTGAAAAATAACAGACTTGTGTGAGAAATGTTACCCCCACCCTCCTTATTTTTTACATTTCAATCTTTCCATCTGAGCACTTGTTAAGAAGTGTTTCGTCTCAGCTCGAGGGTCGATAGTATGGATGGTAGCGCTCTGTGCATCCTGCACAGCTGCAGACACATTGTTCGTGTGCAAACACACACACACACACAC